CAAAGTCACAGGACAGTGGAGGCTAAAACACTACGACCTTGAAGGGCAGGTGTGTGTAATTATAATTCATATTTATCTTAAAAAAAACCCAACACGCAAGGTTTTCTTTTTTCTAGATATTTAAATAGAATTTGTAACTCTGTAGCCACACTGAATCTTTAAGTCTTGCTAACAAATACCTTTAAACTAGTTTATAGTTATGTTCTTAAAAGAACAGAGAAAAAAAAATGGAAGGGCTTGCAAAGAATTCTCAGAATCCCCAAACAAACACTATCTGTTGTACAAGAGGCTACAAGCAAGTGAACATAGGTGAGTGTATATATCAAGTCCACCTGGTTCTAAATATACCTTCTATTTTTAAAACAGCTTGGTTTGAGTACAGCTCTTTTCACCCAAGCTTATACACAGCCTGCTCCTTTGACTGCAAGTCAGCACCAAACATTAATAAACCCATTATCAGACATGTATACACAGTAACAGAAAAGTAGGAAAAAATAATCACTAGCTCATCTTTCAGGGCTACATCCACTACTAAAAACAAACAGAAAGCACTTCTGTGTAGTCACCAAAACATTATACCTACAAATCAACCAAGGAAAATAAAAGCAATAGCTTTAGTCTCCATAAAAAGTTTTATTAAAGGGTTGATGATGGGTAATCATAACAGCATCATGTTCATCTTTGCTGTCAGACTCAAGATGAGAGAAATAGAGGACACGTCTGCTCTGCTCACATCTGAAATCCTTCTGGATCTCTATCTGGCCACTCTTCTCTCTGCTGAGATTAATGTCTGATTTATAAATCAGTACCTTGCTAGAGCAAGGAGTACAAGCTATGTCACCTCAAGGCTGAGCTGTTGTGGATGCTCTAAATGGAGTTGTACTTAAAATGCTGAGGAAATGTCAGCTGCTGCAAAGTCTGGCAAGCCCCATGTCCTTCAGTTCATGCACAATTCAAAACCTCATTTCTACATCTACGACATCCTGTATTATTTCAAACTTGTCTGGAGGAAGTCCAAATAACACCATTATTAAAATGGCAACTAAATCCTTAAGTTCATCATTAGAAAACAACACCAGGGCAGTCTCTGCACCAAAGGTTTTGGTACTTCTTACATGCAAGACATCAAACAGTATGTCTGAGATTATCTATGGAAGATCATTCTAGAGGGACATACTTGAATTTACTTGAATACAAATATAAACAGAAACACACTACTTTTGACTACTACAGACAGAAACCAACTGAAGATGGCCTGCTACAAACTCATTTTCCATTAAGAGACAATGGGCAACTTAGTAAAGCTGAAGCCAAACCAAAATTATAGGCAGCTCTTTTTCCACATTTAACTCCACTTCACACTGAAGTGCTCTCATTTACACACACACAGCCTCAGTACAGAAATTCTGAACAGGACTATCAGAAATACAAAAAAACTTCTATTGTACTTACCTTTCATAGAAATGAACATGAACATTTATCATAAAGTATGATAAATTTAAAACCAAAAGATTAGCAGTACAAGATTAAGATGGATCTTAAGAGTGCTGGTGTATTGCAGAAGCATAATGCCTGTACATCAGCTTCTAAAACTCTTAACATGCATATTAAAATTGTCATCCTGATAAAACTGCTGTGAATTCATCAACAGTGCTTTTATTTGTGCTAGGTACCAGAGGGTTTGTAACCTGAACTCCAGTCTTCACCATCCAAAACAACTATCTTCTTGTCATTTACAGACACCTCTACATGAAATTCCACCAGCCAAATTAACCCTAGCCTGCAAGACCTTAACAGCAAGAACTGGTAGTCACTTGGATCTCATCTACTCTGCAGTTCAAAATTTAAATGCAGTAGCATCCTGTAGGCTTCACTGATTAACTTACAAATTTTAAGCACACAAACCTTGAATTTTGTAGAGCCTAATTAAATCCTCAAAGACCATAATTAAATTATAACTGACTGTGTTCACATTAAAAATAACAGTCGTCTAAGTTCTCAAAGCAAAAACATCACTTCCTTTCTTTGTGAAAAATTCTAGGAAGAATAAAATTAATTTTCAGTTCTTGTACAGCAGTTTGACTTCATCAAGTTCATCTTCCAAGGTCAGAGTCCAGTTTGACTAGGGTAATCTGTAATAGAAGGTAACTCCCAGAAAACAAAAAGCATTGCCAAGAATCCAGTTATCAAGGCAAAGTTGATGTATTTCATTTCCAGCTGTCTGTACAACAAAAACTTGTCAGCTTTCCTCTGTGTAAATGTAACAGATAAAGCACATCTAATATTAGAAAGCTCTTCTCTCTCTGAAGTAGACATCCACAAGAAATGACTCAGAAGAGCAGTTCCAGGTTCACATGAACCAGAACCAATCCTTCTCAATGACCAGCTGACCACCACACAAGTACACTAGAAAAGTCTGCCTCTCTGACACTCCAAAAAAACCCCACACATTCCTG